TCTGTGAGATAAGGCTTGCAAACATAATTATGGCTTTTCTGTGTGATAGTTAGGCAGCCCTGATGGGTTTGTTTTGGTTTTTCTGTGTCGTATTTGAAAAACCAGAGGTTCCCCATGTAACCTAAAGGAAAGGCACCCACAGTAAATTATCTATATAGCTCCACTGGTATACTGTCATACCACAGATCAGTGGAGCCACAGTGCCACTCACTTAATTGGTGGCTTGTATTACCAGATCATATTTCTCAAAATCCATATTGAACCTATGAAATCAAACCCATTGCAGTTGAGTCAATTCTGACTCACAGCGACTCCACACTCAATTAGTAAGCATGCATTCCAATACTGAAAACACATGTCATCAAAAAAACAAGATTAAGGAGAAAAAATGTAGTAAAGAAATTAACTTATTCTGGAAAGAGAACTCAAAGGAACATAGTCTGGTAGATGCTTTCCCTTCCAATTCTTCTCTTATCACAAATGTCTGGGAAAATCTGGGACAGAGATTATGTTCACTTGTTAATTTTTCCATCTTTTCAGTAGAAAATGTCTATAAACTCCTTTGATATCCTATACCTGAGTTTATGGCCAGAGCCATACATAGGAGGCTGTGGACTTAACACTGAGACCCACTTAGCACAAAGGAGTCTCCTGATTCCAAAAAAAGTTCTTCCAGAAATCTCTTGAAATCTCTGTGGACTTCTCTAATGCTGACCAAAAGGCCAATCATGAGCAGGCGTAAGACGTTTTGAAGCAAAATGGCCAACATATGGGGCCTAACATCTACCTTAATTTTAAAAATTGAACATTTTTACCATGCCAGCCTTTTCATCCAGATGTCCCCCACTCACACCTCATTTGGAAGCTCACTGATTTGGCTTGTTCCACTGGTATACTCAGGTTCTCCCTGACTGCTGGTACAGCTGCTTAGTGTGATTTTCCTCTGAAATTTCTCCTGAATCTTCAGTTGTCTCTCTTCACTCACATGATCTCACTCTTTCCAGCTGCAAGATATCTTAGTTTCTGCATTTGTTGCTTTTGATGGACTGAGCAAAGAAGCCTAAACATTCTCCTGGGCTAAGAAACAAGCAGCACTGGCCAGAGGAGTTGGGTGTCCAAGCCTTGGAAGTGGCTGGAAGTCAGCGATGATGAACCCCAGCAGGGTGCAGGGAAAAGAGTTCTGCACAAGGGGATGCTGGTTCTGGCCTTGGCTTGGGCACTAGACCAAAACCCCAAACAATTCCAACTCATAGTGGCTCTACAGGACACAGTAGAACTGCCCCATAGGGTTTCCAAGGAGCAGCGGGTGGATTTGAACTGCCAACCTTTTGGTTAGCAGCTGAGCTCGTAACCACTATGACACTAGGGCATGAGACAGCACTATAAAATTTAAAAGTCACTTAAGAACAAAAACAAACAAGCAAAAAGCATGTAACCTCTTTGGGCTTCACTTCCCTCAGGTGTAAAATGTGGAGCTTGGACAAGAAAATTGGTAAGTACTCCACAGCTGTGGTTCTTGTATTTTGTTCTGCATTGGACTCACCTGTGAAGTTTTTAAAATTCTTGTGCCCTGGACACAGCCGGACCAATTAAATCAGAATATCTGGTGGTCATCCAGACATTTCAAAACTGCTTAGGTGATGCCAATTTGTAGCCAAAACTGAGAACTGTTGTTCTACAGACCTAAAGTCTGAACTGTAAACCCCAAATCTCTTTCCTTAAGAAATGACAACTGAGATTGTTTGAGGGCCATGCCTTCTGATGACAAAATATGGCAAGATAAAGAAGCAGAAAATTGCAAGCATAGATCCTAATCTTGCGCTTTAAAACCCTTTGCTTGTGGAAAGTTTTAGAAATGAAGTTAACCCATATCCAAGTTTTCTGGTCTTTTTTCTTATTAGCATTCTGGAAAGGCAGTTTTGGTTTAGGCAAGAGTTAGCTGGACACGCCAAGGTCATGGAGCCACAGTATCAGCTGTGGTCTCCCTGGTTTAAGGTTTCTTTTCCACTGTCATCCTTGCCCCTGCTGCTAATGTGGTTCTCTGTTACTGAATTGCTAATCCCTTGATACTCCCAGGTGACAGTCTTCTGAAATCTTTACATCCCAAGCATCTACAGACTATCTTAATAAATTTAAGAAGTCCCAATACTTCATCCACAGAAAATTTGAATTGGGAAGATCATTTCCTTAAGGGTCATTGTTTTCTAGGAATACTTAAATCAAGGAGGGAAATATTTGGTCAGATTCATGTATTGTTGCAATTGAGTGCTAATAATTTCAAAAAAAACACAGGATAAATCTAGGGAAAATCATGATTATATCATCAAGCAAAGAAGCCAATGTTATCTCCAATCTGAGACGTATATTTTGGATTGGATTGGAACTAATTGTTCTCCCTAAATGTACTGCAACCCTTGATATTGCTGACCTTGAGTTAACCCCACCAGAGGGTATACTCAGTGTGGACAGGGAACAACGTCATTCTTGCTCATCTTTGTATTGCCAGTGAATAGCGCAGTGCCTGGCATGTTGTAGGTGTTCAATAAATATGTACTGAAAAATAAATGAAGGAGTTTGTGAGGAGTATGTAAGACAAAATTAAGATGAAAGGAGGGTCTCTCCAATTTTGTAAATAAATATGATGTATAATTATTCATGTTACTCCAGTGAGTCTTTTGTTTTAGTCTTTCCCTGTAATTATTTATTTTTTTTAAAAGACTGACATCAACCCTAATGACCCCACAATGAGACAATCAAGAGAATGGTGCTGTGACTGTTCATTTGATAAAGATAACTAGGAAGCCCAAAAGCCTGGCAAAGAGTGAGAGTCTACTTCAAAAGTGAGACCCTGCTGATGAGAACTCAGAAATCTATGCCTAAGTATAATGACTTAAAAATCTACCATCATTTATCCTGTAAAAATGGAATCATACCAGAACCCACCACCTAACCCCCAAACCAGAACACCACCATAACCACTGAGTCTACATGTGTCTTCTTTTCCATCTAGGTTCACTGTATATGGCGGTTCAACTAGTGTACCTTACCCCTGCTACATAAAGAGAGGTGAATTGAGCAGGAACATCAGCATCACCTGGGAGCTTGGTAGAATTGCAGAATCCCAGGGCTCACTGCAGATCTACGGGATCAGAATCTGCATTTTAACAAGATCCCTTAGGTGGCTTGTATGCCCAACAAGTTTGAGAAATGTTGTACTACAAACAAGTTCAGAATCATAAGGCCTTCAAATTTTGCAATGACCAGTTCCAGAGTATAAAATAATTAGGTATGAAATATTTAAAGGAAAAAAAAGATGGGGTCACAAAAACAAGCAAGCAACAAAACACTGTAAAAAATAACCAGGTAAATTAAAAAACAGAATGAAAAAACCAACTAATAGAACTTCTGGAAGTAAAAAAATATAATTGTTAAAAAAAAGTTAAACCTAAATGATGGTTGTAAGACAAATCAAACACAAAAGTCTGGTGTTTGTTATTTCAGCTGACTTTTACTCATGGTGATTGTTTTTCCTTCTATGTATGATCTTTGATTGTGATTTTAATTTTTAAAAAAACTTGGGCGTTTGCATTGGGATTCTTGTTTTCTGTAGAGCATTTGTATTTATTTCTGCCAGGAGTCAGGAGGAACTATCAATGTGAGACCACTCCAGTTTTTGTCCAGCTTTCCTGGCTCACTGCAGGTGTCTCAGGTTCACACCTCCCCTGGTTGCCTTCTCACTGCACTAAGTTCCAGTTTCCTGGCACTACTGATGCTAGTACTTGCCCATAAGGGAACTCCACCCTTTGTGAGCACTAACCACTTTAGTTTAAGATCCTAGTTTGTTATTAATTTGTTTTATTTCCCTCTCTTGGAGCTATGCAATACAAGGATGTTTTATGTATGATCTAGTTGTTTTGTAGTGGGCCCTACAAATTAACTAGTCTATCATATGTGAGAAGAAGACACTACAAAATGCTATTTTTCCTTAGATACTAGATTAAAAGATAAACCAGTATGGCTTAACCAGCCTTCAACTCTCAGACACAAAGTATAACCTGGCACTGACACTTGGGACCACAAAGACCTGAAATAAAAATACAACAAGCCCAGAACCCCAGGCCAATGGCTATCTTTTTGCCAACATCCTGTTCTGGGCTTTATTTTTTGAAAGGGAAAAAGTTGGCTTTTCAGCTATTTCTGAAAATAGTCAATCAAATATCAATTGACACCTTTCTTGAAAATGTGTCAGAAAGGACTACGAGAGAAACCTGGCATTTTGAACAGCTTTGGGCTTAATTAAAAACACCCCTTTACTTTATGTACATAGTAGATGAACATTTACACACACACACACCCATGCACAATCCTGCAAGATAATTGAAGAAGAATCCATGGTTCTCCATTGGATTGAGGATAAAGCTGTGGGATTTAGAATTGGAGCCAATTTAAGTGTCTACTAAAGCTGGTCCTTGTCAAGTTCCTTAACTTCATTTCCAAGTCTTGGTCACAGTAATTCTGGCATTGAGACATGCTCTGGTAGAATCTATCCCTTAGCCTCTAGTTGTAAGAGATCTGCTTATGTTCTAAAGGCCCACTATGTAGTGTGAAGATCAGCCTGTCCTGGAGAACATCAGCTGGTTTCCCAAATTGATGTAGGTAAGCAATTATTCCATCATCTTAGGAATGGGTGGAGGTAGGGCTGAATGTGTTCTTTTTCCTTGGTAGGGACACCAAAACCAATCATAAAGAGGTCCTTCCAATTTTTGCTTTTCTACTGTGCTGTAATCCCACTTTCAGTGCCTAAAACTGAATGTTTTAGACATTCGGACATTTTTTGGGAATTTTCCACTCTTTAGCTATTTAAGTTTAGTTTTCTCATATTAATGTGTTTCAGAAAAGCCCGACCAAGCAAAGTTAAAAAAAAAAAAAAGACTCGGAATTCTGACCCTCCTTCTTGGAGGGAGGGGGGGTGGCAGTTTCCATGGCTACCCATGACTTACACAGCATCCAGCTTCGTCCCATTGAAAGCATGTCCTTGGACTGAAGTAAAGCCATTGTTGTATAGTTTCCTATAATCAACAGAGAAAGGAGAAATCAGTGACCTGTGAGAGGTGGTACTGGCCCTTTTCTGGAGGGTTGGGCTTCATTTCTTCAGTGTCAGAAATGTGCGTGAAGGTTCTCAGGTCCCACATATGAACTCTACAATAAAACTTTACACCTTGTTTGGGACATAAAATAACATTTTATGTCTATTCTTCAGAACTAGCTCCTAGTAACGTTTAGATGTTTCTCAGAACCAGATTCACTGTGAGGACAAAAATTTACTACCATTAAAAATTTTAAAAAAATTACACATATATTTGGAAAAAGAGATTTCAGACAAGAGTTAACCCAATGGCAGGGGTTGGAACTTAAGGCTTTGAACCAGTGGTTCAGGCTCCAACCCCTGCTGAGAATTTGCATTTCTAACAAGTTCGCAGGCAATGCTAATGCTGCTGGTTAGGGACCAATTCTGAGAATCACTACAGAGCAATGGTCCTCAAAATTTATTATACATAAGAATCACCTGAGGATCTTGTTAAAATGTAGATTCTGATTCAGTATACCTGAGATGAAAATGCAAATTTTCAGCAGGAGTTTGAATGAACTGGTTCGAAGCCCTGCCCAATGATAATGCTGGAAGTGTTCATAGGTGTTTCAGGATTTGATCTCAGAGAAGTCTGGCTAGATAGTTCTTGCTCAAAATTGAAGCCATGTGAGTAGGTGAGTTCACCTGCCGTGAGAAGGGAAGATGACAAAAGACAGAGCTCACATCTTTAAA